GTGAAGTACGGTGCTAGGGAAGAAGATATACCTCAACCTGTGCCTGGTCTCCGAGAGGGGTTGAGGTATAGTCGTGGCTGCGTCAGCAAGACTCGTTACTTTGGGCAGAGTCATTGGATGAATGCAGCTGATATGGTTAGTACTCATCTTTTCATTTCAAGCCTTATGATACCAGCCTTTGTTCATTGTTCCCCTGTACTTTCCCAGGGGTCGACTCAATGCCTCTAATGGCTCATCTGTCCTTTATTGTTCTACTATCATCCAGTTGTGGTACTAGACACACTCCTTGTCACATTGTATTAGCGTGCTAGATACTTACACTTACTACAGTTGTACCGTCTCGTCAACTTTGCAAGGAAGTTTGAGAACCGTCGATCATCTCAACTCTATGTTGACCTAGAAAGATGCAAAAAGCTAGGCCGCATCATCAAAGCCCGCCGGACACCCTCATTCAGCACAATCTCAACTGGCAAGAGCATGCCCTCGCGAGACTTAGCAGATGTTCTCATCGGAAACTACCTGCGCACTTTTGAGTGCATCCACCGTATCGTCCACGTCCCGACCTTCAAAGCAGACTACGAAAAGTACTGGCTGAACCCCTCCGACGCGAGCGACTCCTTCATCATCACCATGCAGCTGTGCATGGGCATCGGCGCCACAATGCATGACGAACGCTTTACCCTCAGAAATCTGGCCATTCAGTGGTTCTGGGAAGCCATGTTCTGGCTCATTGCCCCCTGCGAAAAGTCCAAGATGACTATTCCAGGACTGCAGATCCGATGCTTGATGCACCATCTTCGTCACACGGCCAATATCGGCTGTGATCTCACCTGGATCGGCGCTGGTGCTCTTCTCCGAACGGCTATGTACATGGGACTGCATCGCGATCCCAAATCAATCATCAAAATGTCTCCATACCGCGCTGAAATTCGTCGGAGGCTTTGGGTCACGATCTTAGAGATGACGCTGCAGACGAGCGTCGACTCTGGAGGCCCGCCTCTTATTTCATTAGACGACTTCGACACTGAATTACCGGCAAACCTAGATGACGAGCAACTCGTCGAAGATGGCGAGTCCGCCTTCCCTGTGCCCAGGGATTCGGGTACACACACACAGATGACGATTCCGCTGGCATTATTCGGAACATTCGCAGCTCGTCTCGCTGTAGCAAAGCGCGTCAACGAGTTCCGCTCAGATACAGTCTACGAAGAGACCCTCCGACATAGCAACGAACTGAGCAGATCGCTCCAAAAGATGATGCAGCAGCTTAAGGCGTACCCGTCTGTCACCTCTTTTCAGCTGCGATATGTTCAGACCCTGACGTACCGGCTCTTCTTTGCCCTGCACCACCCGATTGCCCCGCTGGCGCTACGGAACCCCGTTTACTACTTCTCTCGTAAGATGGTCGTTGACACGGCGTTGCGACTGTGCGAGGTTGCCTTTCTGGCACCTGACAAGTCTGGCACTGGCGCCACGATGAAGCCTGCGACCCCGTCGGAGGTGGACTTCCATCGGTTGACGATTAATGGTGCCGGGTTTTACCGATCTGTTCCCTTCCAAGGCGTCATGACACTGGGGTTGGAGCTCATCAACATCAAGGAGGAGGAAGTGAGGAATGGGCACTCCATATTCTACAGCGGCTCTGAAGATCAGCTGCGCGGTATTCTTGACGCTGTGTACGACTGGTCGCGGAATCGGATTCGGTCGGGAGAGACGAACATCAAGGGCCACGCGCTGAGTGTACTTCTCATTGCTCATATTCATGGCTTGGAGCAGGGTGTCAGTGATGAAAAGATTGAGAAATTCTTCGAAGAGGCGTGTAAGGAGCGTGTTAAGGAGTGCCATGATTTGCTCAAGGAGTTGGCTGGAGGCGATGTAACTGAGGAAGGGGTCAGCATGCCCGATGTCCACGATTTGGATATGGACTTTGATGCCGGCGTCGACATGCTCGGGGATTGGGATTGGGGCACATCTTTGGTAAACATTCTTCCTACAAGCCCCAAACTGGTTTGATTCCGCCTTCTAACTTGATTCCAGGACAATAATGGGTTTGGGTTCGGTTCCATTATGAACTTCAACGCTATGCCTGAGATGTTCTCATGATGCAGCACTCAATCTATTGGAGATACTGCCTTTGGAACGAGTATACAATCATCTGTTATGGTATTCGTTCGAAAGTCAGTCCACAACTCTGTAACATTGCGTCTTCCTGCGACAAAATGAGTGGCGGAGATCAATTCTCTCAGCTCAGTCCTAGACCGCGTGCTTGATCAGACTAGATCAAGCCAGAGACGAAATCTCTTTACGAGAAATTACTCCTCTTCGTTGACAACCTTATGAAAGGTATTTAGTGCTTGGGGGCTTATTGCCGATGAAGCTAAGGCAGAGAAGAATCGGCAAAAAGGGAGATGGCAAGTGCGCTCCGAGGGCGTAACGGGGTAGAATTGAAGAGCTATAGGAGAAGCGAATACACCAAAGAAGAATTAATAGAGGGTTTCATCATGTGCTAATAGGCGAGAAGATGCTAGACTATGAACACTTGCCAAGTTCTGACGACAAGTGTTCGACTATGAACAACTCGACGTGTAGGATTCAAGAGTAAAAAGAAAAAAAGCCCAACCGGATGGAAGAACACCGAAGTCCACTGCAAAAGATGAACAAACAACCGTCTCAGCATGCCTGTGAGTGATATTTTACGCTGCGGAGATTCTGTGATTTCGGCGTTTGGCGGGAATAACAGCTGAATCTTGCTGCATTCTACTCTAATGCTCTAAAGTACCTTACGTGCTTACCTACTTTAGCTGCAGTTCAGTGCGATTGCGACAGCATGTAGCAACCTGGGGCTTTAGCGGCGCAGTGGCTGCTTGCTGATGGCCCTCCTCTTAGAGCTAGGTACCAAGGCGAAATTAGACGTGAGTTTTGAGACGTAGCTGGCCAGCGTAGGTCAGAATTGGATGAATGCCTCACACCGGTCAAGGAATTTGTGACTATGACTGGATGGAATTAGCAACTATGCGGTGCAACAATATCCCGTCAGACGAACAGAAGTCCCTTCATGGACCCCTAAGCTTCGGACTTGATCCTTTTGAGGTCTTACTGCCTTGGTGCAGGTTCCAGAAGCAGCCGCGCACGTATTTCAGGCGCCGTGAGATGGCGATAGCGCTAACTCCGGGACGCCTTCCCGCAGCAGATGACTCTGTAATTCGTCTGCTAAGGCGCCAGGGTGGATTCAATGTCCGCACGACGCGGCCGCACCGCCCGCTCCGTCTTAGACGGCTGAGATTGAAAAGACGGCCGGATCGCTGCTGACCTGACTGAGATGTAGATTATTGCTCTCTCATCTTATTCACTTTTGATATCCAGGGCACTCTAGCAGAAGTGAAAATTTCCACAGTGACGTTGTTGTCATCTCTAAAGCACGACTCAACCGACACTACTAACACGATGCATCTCATCCTCACTGGAGCCACTGGTCTTGTAGGCTCAGGCGTTCTCGATGCCATGATCAAGATGAAGGACATCACAAAGATCTCAGTCCTCAGCAGAAGCCCGGTCCCCATGGCTGAAGCCTCAAAAGATCCTCGAATCAATGTCATCATCCACAAGGACTTTGAAAAGTACGACGCAGACGTACTCGACAAGCTCAAGGGCGCAAACGGCGCTGTGTGGGCACTGGGCATCAGCCAGAACAAGGTCAGCAAAGAGTAAGCACAACCCCTCCAACCACCCCTACGAGAAGTGCTTACACGGCCACAGGGATTATGTCAAAATCACAAAGGACTACTCTTTGGAAGCAGCAAAGGCTTTCGCCAACCTACCGCCGAACAACGAACCCTTCCGCTTCATCTACGTCTCAGGCGAGGGCGCGACGCAGACGCCGGGCCGCTTCAGCGCCATCTTCGCCCGCGTCAAGGGCGAGACCGAGACCCTCCTCTCCGAGATGCGCGCCGCGAACCCGCGTCTGCGCGCCGAATCTGTCCGCCCTGCCTTCGTAGACAAGGCCGGCCACAAGGCCGTCGAGACCTATGCGCCCAACGCCGGCGCGCTGTACAACGCCATGAATATGTTCCTCGGCCCCGTGATTCGAACAACTATGCCGTCTTTTGTCAGCCCGACAGAAGTTTTGGGCAAATTCATGAGCGAAATGGCGATGGGCAAGATGGATGACGGACTTACTGCGGGCGGGAAGGGGATTATTACGCTTAACGGCGGATTGAGGGTCGTGGAGAATGTTGGCTTCAGAAGGTTGGCTGGTTTGCAGTGAAGATACCCCGTGAGATATGAATCCCAGTGCCGACATGTAAAGTAGCTTTTTTGTTGTAGTATTGCGTTCCATTGGCAGTTGAATTATGACTCACTATACTGGTTGTCTATATGTTCAGGGTTTACACTGATTTGCGCTGGCATCTTTGGACATGGACGATCAACTTGTCGCATTGCAAGACTTTAACAATATATAATGCGTGATCTGGGGCCAAGTCGCCAGCCGAAACCACTCATTGGATCCCGCAGGGGTCCCCTGGCTCAATGGTCTAGTGGTATGATTCGCCCTTCGGGTTTACCAATCCTTGCGCACAGCGTGAAATTGGGCGAGGTCTCGGGTTCGAATCCCGATTGAGCCCTTCCGTTTTGCCAATTCTTGATACGTCGTGTCAAGGTTGATTTGTTTTTGGCTGATGGTCATTCCTGGATGTTTGCGAGCGACGGCTTCGTCGCTTTGACTTGGTTGTGGCCAGACAACCCCTCTTGTGGTCTAGAAAGACTGAAGCTAATACGAAGTTAAGGCACTCATGTCGAGATTGTACTTGGCTGACATGATACGGCAACATTCGCGAAAAAACATTAGTGGGTGACACGATGGGCGACAATGGGTGGTCAGGCAGTATGAAGTGGATGCGGGCTAACTTATGTATTGTTGTCGCCATGCGAGCTATCTGGAGCCGGAATCTCACTTCGGCATGCTTGCCCACGACCCAAAAGCCCCTTCCCGTATCAAACGAATGCTAGAGGGTAAGACGCCCCGATACCAGGAAGCCAAGACGCCCGAACGCCGAATTACGAAATCCTCAAGACCTCGAGGCCGGATCTCTTCTGGTCGTTGTAACCTTTCTGCAGTTTCTTATAATATCATCCCAGCATGCCTTTCTCCCTATACCTATCCCCGTATTCCGTTTTGTCGTCCTTGACCTAGGACCTCCCAAGTACGTCTCGACTCAAAGTAGGAAAGCGATGTTCAACATTCGAACCAATCTAAGACAGATGGTTGGCAGCTGGGCGGCGTGTGTTGCTAGCGAATACGCTCTAGCTGCATCGCTTGGTCGGCCCATGTAGTAAGTAGCAAGGAGATGCAGTATGCCTTACACCATGTAAGCAATATAGCTGCTGTCTGGTGCAACCGGCGAAGATTCTGCCGAATAGTCCTCGTCGCCTTCATTGTCCTCATATGGCGCGGAAATATGGAAGACGGTACCGTAGGCGGGAGGCGGGGTGTTCCCTTCGAAAGCAAGAAGCGGTCTCGCAGTAGAGTCCTCGCGCTCATATCGAGGGAGAGGCTCCGATTGATCCCCAAAGCTGCGCAGGTTGGGCACCGTTCGTAGGTTGTCTCCGTAGTGGTATTGTGGTGGATTGTATCGGGCATCAAGGTAGGCCACGACAATATTGGTTCCGAGCGCTATGCATCCGAAGAAGACGAAGCTGAGAAATATCAAGAAGAGCGCTTGAGGGAGGGACATGTCCCAAGGGTCGCCGTGCATGTCTTCCATGGCCTTGAGTATGGAGTCGGAGATGCTGAAGTCGTGGATGGCGAAGAAGTAGTCAACACGTGCCTCCGGAATGTACATTTTGATGTCTGGTGTAAGTGATGATTCTGTTCTGATGTGTACTTCAGTTGCGCTCAGGCCTGATGACACGACTTGGTGTGTATGGCGAGAAAGCGTGGTGTTGTTTTTCTCAAGCAGGTTAGAACAGAATTGTGGGTGCATCCTCTAGGAGATTGTATCTAGCCAGGTAAAAGCTCGTCTTTGGGTGGGAGCGTGAAAGCGATTTATTCTACAATTCCTGGTCTTTCTCCGGAAGGAGACAATTAAGCTTCACGATTACCGTTTTTGCCAAACTCAGGTGGCTTCTGGATGTCCTCAGGACCCGTCTCTCTCTGCCAAGGAAGCACCTTGATACCACAACGTAGGACAAGCTTCTCTCCCGCCCACGGCTCGTCCATGTACGAACACCTGGAAAACCAGAGCGTTGTGGTCAGGTGGAAATGCAGCATCACTCAATGACGAATGAGAACGACCCGAGTAGGGGACAATGATCGAAATCTTCAACTGTACAGGATACGAAATGGAATAAATTCGTTTCACTATTCTTTTCATTAGCAAGCACTTCCATACTTACTTAATCAGCTAAGGTACATGTACGCAAGATATCCCTTGTTAAAATGACATCACTCTCATTCGGCAGATCATCTGCTCCCTCAATGTTGTCCACCTTTCTTTACGCCTCTGGCTTTCTTCCGTAAATATTGTAACTGTCATGAGATGTCAGCTAATACCAATGCCAGGACCAATTATTACTAACACTGTCCAGTACCCATGAATAGACCTGTCTTTCAGGTCCTTCCGGACATCAATCAGGAAGGCCTGCACTTCTTCCTTCGTCCAGTTGTGTATGCGAGTAAAAGCGGCCATGGTGAAGCCCTCAACACCAGAAGACATATTCTCGTGGTTCCACATGCCCAATTCCTTATACTTAGAGTCCCTAGCCCATGCGTTCGAGGGCCATTTGTCGCTCTGGATCGCAACATCAACGAATCCGACCTCTCTCATCATCTCTGCAAGCGGTTCGATGTGCTGGTAGGGCCTTCCAAACTTGATGGATGCATCGTATATCAGGTCGACACATCTGGAGACAGCATGTTCCGGCTTCAAGGTACCATCGTCGGACTTGACGAACACGTCGTACTCCTGCAGCTCTAGAAAACCTCCCGATTTGAGGTTGCTGCAAAAGCATGAGTCAACAGGCATATTTCACTTTAGTCTGGGTATTCGACGAGGGCTTCTTACTCAAAGCACTTTTTGATGTAGACTTTCCAATCAGTGATTGAGGAGTTCATCGCCCTTGTGTGGATATAATCGAACGGCTTCGAGTAGACCCAAGGCTCTTCTAGGTCATCAATCTCGAACTTGACATTAGGAGGGATGCTTGAAGGTGTCAGTGTCTTGAAACCAGGTGCTAATGCAGTCCCAAGTATGGCTGCTAGTTGAACTTGACTTTTATACCAGGTACTTACAACTGTGGCATAGACGGAGAGAGATCAATGCCGAGGACCTGTCTCTGCCATTAGCTTTACACCATGAAAAGCATCTATCAGTACTTACCTCAGCTTCAGGGTGTTCCTCTCCAAAGTCAACTGCCCAGATTCCAGTGCCAGTGCCGACATCAAGGACCCTCTTCACCTTTGAGTCGGGGGTGTTCGGAGGTGCGAGACCCAGCTTGTTATCCCAGGTCAGAAGGAAAAGGTTGTGTTGCAAATCTGGCTTGCTTATCAGCTTAGTTGAGCCCAGTTGAACAGAAGGACTCACCCAGTCTGTCAGATTCCGATGCGTCATTGGGAATATGATATTCTGCGTCATCGACGTCAGGTGTGCTCTTATTGCCGATGTTCCATTGGGTCAATACTCACGGCCGTCTTTGTACTTGTGGTACGTTCGACCATTTTCGATTCGATAATCAAGAATGGAGGAGGTGATACTCGTGCTTGATGAGGCGATGCTCTGTTATTGATCATTAGCTTGACCATGTCGTCTAGGATACAGTCACCAAGACTCGAACTCACCTCCCTAAGCTCCGACGCGTTGTCATTGGGGGCCTAATTCGTGTCAACGATTGAGAAGAAATAAGGTCCTGTGTCTTTCACTGTACATCTTGGGGAACGATGTGTCCCGGGCCTTCGACGGTGGCCAGGTTCGTGGCCGCAGGGGCTGCGCTTATGGTGTTGCTGGACATAGTCGGAAACGGAACAAGAACAAAGGCGTCGAAGGTTGAGATCAGGTCTTTCACCCTGCACGAAATGGCAATGTTTCCTTGAGAGTTTTTTTTTCGATTTAAGGATGAGGAGGTCACAACAGTGATACGATTAGCACGTGTGCACAAGAGGCTTGATTAATTTCTATTTACCCCTCTCCTTGGCTGGAGACAAGTATGCATGTTGGCGGCGAAGATACTATTCACGGCGTATGCAAGGTTCGTAAACATGGAACCAACGCACGAATCTGGACGAATTGGTTAGGTAGAGTACGACGTGGAGCTTGTATGGTGCCATGATGCAGGGTATAGTGTATATTTATAATTATGCAGTGCACAATTGTTTGTGAGTGCGTTGGTAATTCCATCACTTTTCATAATTACGAAGATAACTCTTCACGACGAGAGCAGACTGGAAGACAGCACTGTGATTTGACGTTCATGGTAAGGTAGTATGTGGGTTAAGCTTCAACGTACCGTAAGCTGCAACAGCTGGGTGGTCTCACATAGTCGTCGGGATTTAAAGGTTCTCAAGATGACAAGCACGGCCAATTTCAATCTGGTAGGGTCGCCTTCAAAAAGCGAAGTATCCGAACGGGTGCATCTTCTTAGGGTTACTGTTTCCAAGATTGAGACAAACTCAAATCCCCTTTAGTACTATCACCATAATCAAAGGCCTCATTAGGACTGGTAACCTCAGATTGGTTCCACTTTGTCTTCCTCAGGCCCTCCTCCAAACGCAGAGTAGCTAGGCCACGTTGTTAGCTTCGAGGCGCGATAGCAGCAACGCCTGAGAGACAAGAACGACTTACATTGGCAAGTAGGCATGAATATGCCGATCTCTCAAATGTTTTCGCACGTCAATGAGAAACAGGTGAACCTCCTCCTAGGTCCAATGATGTGCCCTACCTTAGTGAGAGGGGCCATGGTAAAAGCCTCGAAGCCGTTGCAGAAATGTTCGTTATTCCAGATTCCCAATTCCTTGTATTTGGGATCTTTAGGCCAGGGGGTTGGAGGCCACTTGAAGGCATGCATTTCCTAGCTAGTGTAAGTGATTTAATGCCATCTACTCCGTAAAGTACAGGGAATTGTACGCTTCTCACTGCCCCTCTGCTTGGCCGGATTCAATTATGCGGGACCACGGCGAGGATACTCTTTTCGGCGAGGAAACGTTCGCGAAAAAGGAAGCAACGCACGTAACACAGCGAGTCTCCCAGAGAGAATGGAGCTCGTACGATAACATCATGCAGTTGGTTGTGATGTCTGATGCCTGGCATGGTGGCTCGTGCATGGAAGCCATGTCGTTGAATCACATCACAGGGACATTTCCGACAATTACCAGCTGCAGCAGCCTGTTTGCTTCATGGTACTTTCCAAAACTTTGACACATACGGATGATACGTCGCGGCTTATTTGGATGTGGCTTATGAGGCTGAGGTTAGGTGTCGTTGCAGGAGGTTCGGGAGGGGGTCCCTTCTATAGTTCATGCATACTCGTACACCCATACTCGTTCACCCAGAATTCGGACGATCAGGCTTGAAAGGCGACTGGATAGCGCAAGCAAGTTAATTCGTTAGGTGTGCACCATGCAATGAAGCCCGAGACGGATTTTGAGCATGACAAAGAGGGAACAGCACGAGCAACTGGGGGGCATGGAGTATTTCGAAGCAGCTCGTTGGCAATAATCAGCTAGGATAATCACACGAATGTGCCAGTTTGAAGACAAGCTTTCAGCAGGACCCGTCCGAAGTTGTAGACCAGCGGGGCTACCCCGATCCATCATCTCAAAGTCCCGCTTTTTGAGTTCAGCTAAACCGTCGGGTTGACAGTTGCAAGACTGGCAACCCCGGATTCGAGACTTGCTGCAATGGCGTATACGATTCAGCTCGCCCAATCATCATTGATCGTTTGGACCAGACTATCCTACAGAGAAAGGATTTGGTTGCTGATGGTCTGCTCCCGACGCGCTCCACAACGGCTTCGGGAAACCCTGGGCGGCCTATTCCATACAGATACAGCATTTACCGAGAATCGGGAGCGACTAACGTCCCGAGCCGTCGGCCGTGCAGGCTAGAATCGTAATGCCGCCAATATCAAGCCCCACTCGACGCGCTCCGTCTTCTGACCGTGTAAGCCATCACTGAACCGCCGGGATATTCTAGTCAAGACTAAGATCGAGTAATCGCTGGCTTGGAGAAATATATAAGCTGAAGACCTTGGTCTTAGAGGTCTTGATCATACCAACACAATTCTTTTGATTCAACGATAGCTTCATCAAACCCTTAATTCCAATAGGCCAATCGTGGGAAAAGCGCCAGCCATGACCCTCATAGCCCAACAAACCAACGGCGATTCTGCACACGGCGGTGTCCCCAAACCAACGCACGAAAGCACTCTCTTAGATGGCGTGCTCCGATGGCCATCTACAGGACTCAAGGTTCTCATCGTTGGTGGTGGGCCTGCCGGCCTACTGACCGCTCTCGAGTGCTGGAAAAAAGGACACGATGTCGAAGTTGTGGAGAAGAACAACAAAAACTCTACAATTGGTGAGCCATGTTTTTGATACATGAAGTAGAAATAACGAATAATCAGAAATAAATGGACTAATTGACACTCGGACACAGGCGACGTGATTTTCATTGGACCATCTGCTCTCGCAACTTTCAAGGACTACCCGAGCATGCTCGAGGAGTATCACCGCCAATCGTGGGATGCGTTCTGTTCATACCGAAGACTTGATGGTCAAGAAGTCTGTCAACCTCAAGAGTTTGAGTACAACAGAGACGATGTCCAGCCCCACGTTGCTTGGCCCCTGAGAATCAGGACTATGGTTAGCCGACCGGGCATGTCAATCATGTTCTACGACCAATGCAAGCGTCTAGGCATCCCGGTCAAGTTTGGCGTGAATGTCGTTGACTACATTGAGAATGCTGCCGAAGGAACAGGCACTGCTGTCACAGCTGATGGCCAGCGACTCACGGCTGACATTGTGGTTGCTGCCGATGGCCTAGGCACCAAGTCGCACAAAGTGGTCATGGGAGAAGCAATCAGAGCCGTTCCCACAGGATTCGTCATTTGCCGCATCTTCTACCGCCTTGACCCGGTGAAAAACAAGAACCTCTATGAGAAACTGATCAAGACGACGAGGCCTGATCTTCGCACTCATTCCGGGTGAGTTCTTACTGACACTTGATGAACTCATCAGTATGTTGACTTTGGTTTTATAGTGGCGACTTCCATTGCATCTTCATCACTGCTAATGACTCTATTGTCATCGCAATCACGATGCCGGTATGCCGCTTTTCCTGGACCACACTCGCAACTAGTTTTGCTCTCCTGACAGATGGAAACGACTAATCACTATCGTTCTAGGACGATGGGACTGCATCGGAGTCATGGGCCGAGACCATCACTGGCGATGAGTTTGTTAGTAAACTGCCAGTCACCGAAGGATGGGACCCTTTGATTTTGGAAGGCATTCGAAACATCCCCGAGAACAGCATCGTCAAATGGCAGCTCTGCTGGCGCGATCCTCAACCTAAGTGGACATCGCCCGAGGGTCGGATTCTTCAGCTTGGTGATAGCGCGCACGCCTTTATTCCATCTTCGATATCTGGCGCATCTACAGCGCTGGAGGACGCTCAATCTCTGGCTGAATGCTTGCGGCTTGCCGGAAAGAGGGACGCCAACATTGGAACTAAGGTTCACGAACTATTGCGGTACGTCTAAATCTATATGCATATGGCCTCTGATCCCTCGAGCCAAACTGACTGTGCCTGAAACCAATAGCATTCGACGCGCCTCTACCCTCCAGCGTCTTGGATTCGCCAATCGACGAGAGATGCACCGGAAGGGTGGATTTGAAGAGGTCATGAAGTCTGCCGCAAAAGGGGGCCCGATGGGACTTGGCAAATGGATATGGACTCACGACCCTGCGAAGTACGCCACCGAAAAGTTTGCCGAAGGCCGCAGTCATCTCGAGAATGGCACTCCCTTTGAGCATACAAACCTTCCCAAGGGGTTCAAATGGGAACCCAACTGGACCATGCAAGAGGAGATTGAGAAAGAGAAGCGGGGAATTCACACCCCTGACCTGAAGATGAATGGTGACTGGAGCATCTACTAGACCTACACGCTGTGTTGTATAGACGACCCCTGTCAGAATTATAGAGTTAGAAACATATGCAGAGGCGCAGAATCAATAGTATATGTTTTCAAACACAACATCAATCACCTTGATCCTAACTGAACACCCATTTCGGCATGTACCTGCGAGATATAAAGCCTCATTGCTGCGGCTAGCATGGCTTGATGCCCACTTCTACCACGTCGAGCGGCCTTGAAAAAGCCTGAAGTTTTATCACCTTAATTATGGTATATTTATAATAACAGTCCGTTTCGTTACGTATTCTTGTAGGCTTTGTAGGCTTAGTACTTTGCAGCGCGCTTAGTACTCTAAGGGCTGCTGGACGCCGACGACATGACGAAGCTCAAAGGGAAGACATGCAGCCAGTCTGATCACTAGGGTAGAGTTATGTGATGAGCTTAGTGAGACTGCAAATCTAGGTGATCCGTCGTCATGAGATAAAGATTACAATCAAAGGTTGAGGTGGAGCGCCGCCGAGTGTCGGTTTATCGCAGGAGGAGCGCCGCCTTGCTCCAGCCAGATTCGATTTGTAAACTGATTGAATTTGTAAAGCACTCCGATTTGTAAACGTGTTTGATTTGTAAACCCAGCTGACCACCAATGATCACCATAATCCTTCCTGCCAGCTGTTGCCGATATTGAAGTCGTCGCTTACAAGTCGCTCATTTCAGACAACAATCAGAGCTCTTACTTTGAGCGACTTAACGAAACAAAGTGGGCTACATCACCGAAGAATACAATTGGCTAAGGATGTCTATCCAGACGCGGTCCGTTGATTCTTTGTCCTCGAAGTCCAAGCCGTAACCTAGTACAAGGCACGGATGTGGCTGCAGGAGGTGCTTACACCTTATGGGCGCCACCTCTGTTGTCCGGACATTGGCGCGGGGGCTGGAGTATATATGATGGAGAAGTCCGACAACATCGCGGGGATCAATCCCCGACCTGCATCAACGAAATCGACCGCTCTTTCACAATCTTGCAAGGACTGCAGTAGAAGAAGAAGCAACGATGAATTCGAACGCGATTTTCAGAGTCGACGGCATCGTCGCCGTGATTACAGGCGGCGGGACAGGTATGCATCCTCCGGCAAGACGTAGATGAACCCAGTGCTAAGACAGCACCTAGGTATCGGCCTCACAATGGCGAGGGCCCTAGTCTCTCAAGGTGCCGCCAAGGTCTACATCCTTGGGCGCCGTCTTGAGGTGCTTGAAGACGCAGCCAAAGAACATCCCAACCTGATCCCCCACAAGTGCGATGTCACCTCAAAGGAAGACCTCCAATCCATTGTCGACCGTATCACCAAGGAAGTCGGCTATGTCAACCTCGTTATCGCCAATTCAGGTGTTCTTGGGCCTTCTGTTCGCTTTAACCCAGCGCATTCCGTTTCCGATTTGAAGAAGATTCTCTTCGATGACTTTTCCATGACGGAGATGACGGAGGTTTTGCATGTGAACATCACGGCTGCCTTTTTTACCATGTCAGCCTTCCTTGAACTTCTTGATGCCGGTAACAAGAATGCTCTCAAGGGTGGTTTCGGCAAGCCAGACCAGGAAGGCAGCAACGTGATCGCCATCCAGAGCCAAGTCATCTTCACGAGCAGTATTTCGGCTTTCAGTCGGCACTTCTCCTCGACGCCCCCGTACTTGGCTAGTAAGACTGCTATAATGCAGCTCACTAAGCAGGCCAGCAGCCAACTGGCTAGACATGGGATTCGTGTGAACGGGATCGCCCCTGGGTGTGAGTACTACCGTTCTGATTCTGCATCTCAATTTTGCAAAACTAATAAACTCCAGTATTCCCCTCAGAAATTGCTTCTGGGCTTATCGGTGACCGCAAGCCAGAGACCGAGTCTCCTGATGATACGAAATTCATTCCTGCGAGGAGGTTTGGGGGGGATGAGGAGATGACCGGAGCAATACTCTACCTTGCCAGTCGTTCCGGCAGCTATTCGAATGGTTCGATCATGGTCATGGATGGTGGCCGGCTGAGCGCCATGGCTAGTTCCTACTAGAGGTATTCTAGTTTCTGGTGTCGGTCAATTCTGATTTCTAATTGAGGGTATTTACGGCTCAATGCCTGCATACCATATGATATCGATGGATGCAAACTTGATAGGAATAAGTGAGGATGAGACACGTACTGCTGGACCAATTTCGCGTTGTCTTCTATGTTCTTGGCGACCATGAGCCATATGGCTCTAGCTGGGATAACGCGTGGGAGACGTTGGGCAAATTCGGAAAAGCGAATCGAAGTGAACGGAAGTAGAATCCTGAAAGCGCAGTTGGCGAGTTCGTCTTCATGTATCAGCGAGAATACCGAATTCTCGACAGCCACATAACGGTACTGGGATGCACACTATTCTCCAATGTCCCATCATCGAAGAGACGCCAGTCAGCAACAGCCTAAACGACTTCTGCGAAATCGATGGCTGGATTGTCGAAGAGCATTGCCAACTGCACAAGCAAGACCTAGCCTGGTTGAACAGCAGAGTCAACGCCATATCCGTCGACTCTGAACGCAAGATTGCCATCTTCACGCACTACAGTCCGACCGAAGATATCCGCGCTGTTGAACCTTGTCATGCTCAAAGCGACATTAAATCTGACTTTCAAACAGACTTGCGAAACGAAGATTGTTGGAAAAGCCCTGATATCAAGGTCTGGGCGTTCGGTCATACACACTTCAACTGCGACTTTGTGGATCAGGCGACAGGGAAGCGACTCTACACCAACCAGAAGGGCTACTGGCAGGAACACTCTCCAGGCTTCAGGGAAGGAAACATGGTTCATGTGGATTGAGGCTCAAACCTGAGAGTTTGGTCTCAATGCTCTCGGCTGGGGAAAAGGCGGTTCCCTAGCCTTGTGGGAAGATAGCAACCCCAAAGGAGTTTCCTCCTCGAGTTGGCCATAGTTGGCTATATGCAGCCTACAATCGTAGCCAACCCCTAGCCGCCCAGAAGAGAATGAAAAATCGTTTGTCTACCGCTTGATCAGTATAAATTTTCACAGGGGACTCAAGTGGAACGCAATTGTGGTTTTCCGTTCTGCAAAGTGGTCACTTTTCCGAATCGTCCCGACCCTCGCGTCCGTATTCCGTGGAGAGAATGGTCGGTCAGCTGCCGCAGCCTGTGAGAGACTTGTTCTAGAAGAGGCCACGCTCAAGCTCACCGACTCGGTGGTACCACGACCCTCTTTTACCCCTTTGTCCCCAAACTCAGGCTTGCGGAGGATCTCGGAGGCTCTCCGGTGAGACTGAAGTGCGGGATGAACAGGAGGCATCGAGGCAAGCATCGAAAAGTTTGGGACGGTCATCAGATGGTGCAAAACATGGAGAATTGGACATGATTCTGGGGGGGTGGTTGGGGAATCAGTCCCAGCGATTGAGCAAAAGGATGGAGAAAACTCGAAATAGATGGTAGCAGAGGTGTGAAATCCAAGAAAGCCAAGACATCGCTCTCCATTTATCATTTCTCCTTTCCCCATTAAAGACGTTCGAGTCGGTCCGTTGAATACAGCGAGAGTCTTGGGCGGTTCCCACTCGCAATCGGACCGTTACACTCCACATTCCACCCCGAAACTGCGGAGAATGGGGCATGCAATTTGGGGCCCCGATGCTCCGCGCATGGCGGTCAAGTTTCCCGGCTGCCCCGATGGGAGGCTGTCGGAAGTATTGCTACATAACGGATGTCCCATGGGGGCTCCAGCATTATGGGCGGAGAAGCATACACACTGGAAGTTTTGAACTGTACTGTGAAGCTATCAGACCATGAAGCTAGAACCTGTGTGATTGTAGAAGGCCAACAGGAGCTGTCCAGCGGACGAGACGCAAACTGTCAGATCAAAGTTGCCAGGTATGCTTTCCCCTCATCAAGTCGATCTCAGTATTCATATGAGGGTCAAAGAAACCTGTAGCGAAATGCTTTCAGTTGTTTGACTGTCGATGGTAAACTTTTCAAGATGGAGCAACAAGCAACACTTTAGGTAATGCCAGAGGCGTCCAGCGCGCTGAATCACGGGGGCATCGCAGGGATGGCATTGACTTGTTAGTCTGCCCAGACTGAAAAAGCACAACTTTGCCAACTGCCAACATTCGCCCAGCCAGCAGTCTTGGAAGTCCATAGTTAAGTTGAACAAGACGCGTTGCGCTCACAGTCTAGGCACGTCGCTTTCTGTCTCGGAGTAATCCAGTGACCCGGCTGCATCTTACAGCACAATAGACTTCTGAACAAGCGAAACAGGTCGGTCGCGCCGCTGTCTGACTCGCACGTGAGGGTCTGGGGATCGTCATTACTCTTTATTCCTGGTATACAATTCCAAGACGTCGCGTTGTGCAAACCCGGCCTCACGTTGCCGGTTCCGCCTTCGCCTATTGCAGGCTTTGACATTCGTTTAGGTGGAAGAATCAGCAGTCTTGCAGAGTTTCTAGGGAGACTCGGTCGCGCTTTGAGAGCTTGGCCTCCCATCATGGACTCATCTTGGCGGCATAAGCCGGTGTCTTGGCTTCACAAATCGATTTCGTATGCCAATGTTCGCGTACCCCTGCCTCGCTGTCGGCAATGACGGGGGCCAAGCAGCCGATCTGAAGCCTCACCCTCAAGTCTCCCAACCATTGTCGACGGAGTGAGCCCCATGAACAGGTGCTTTTCGCCCTGCCCAGCTTGTCTATTGTTTGATCTGAGCTTTTCAACTCGCTGGCACTGCGAGCTCTCTAGCTCGCACGACTCGCAGACACCAAGTCCTGCCTTGGTGGAATGCGCGGCGCCCTTCCAACCCCGGATTGTCGATGCATGGGGCTTCCGACAGTCAGTCGCGTGGGTGGCGCCTTTCCTGTCTCCCCCAGATGAAGGCGTGGGATGAAAGTGGATTGTGTCCATGTACGGATACAACAAGTACTTCCCAAGGTCATCCCATACCTTCCATCGAGCCTTCGTCAACCTTGCCGGTCTGCGCCCCAGTATGGAGAAAGGATAGGACCGAGTCGGCCTCTGGGGCAACGTCATAGCATCGTTGCCAATCACTATAGTCGGTCAGCCGACTCAGGCTCGTCCACATCTGCGAAGTGGCAGGATATGGCTGCAGTATAAAGCCATCACGGTGCATACTTGAGGGACATGAGCATCACTTCCCACGCTCTCTGGCTTTCCCACACAACTGGGCTTGAGCCGACCTTTCATCCTATCTCCGCTACTCCTTCACTGGACAGGTATTAGGACATCTGCATGAGTTCTTGAGCGAAGAGCTTCTGCTCCCTCACACACTGCTCCAGATTCCACCCAAGCTCGATCTCGATTCCGTACAAGAGCATCTGAAAACATGGGGTTGGGCAAGAAGTAAGAAAGAGCCGTTGCACTGTACACTCTGGTAGTCACTAACCCCAAGTTAAGGTCCATTCGCATTAATGGTGCCGACTGCGGCATCGAGTCGCTTTTGCTTGGTGTTATCACCAGCATAGGAGGCTTCCTGTTCGGTTATGACACCGGTCAAATTTCATCTATGCTTCTGTTCACGGACTTCAAGAGACGCTTCGCAACCGGTGCACCAGACGCCGACGGTATTCCACAATGGGTTCCCATCACCCAGTCCTTAATGGTGTCGCTCATGAGTATCGGTACTCTCATCGGTGCGCTCTCAGGTGCCTACACAGCCGACTGGTGGGGCCGACGAAGGAGCTTGAGTTTTGGTGTTAGTATCTTTATCGTTGGAAACATTATCCAGATCACAGCCATGAACTCGTGGGTTCACATGATGATGGGTCGCTTCATCGCTGGTCTGGGAGTCGGCAACTTGTCTATCGGTGTGCCCATGTTCCAGTCAGAGTGCTCTCCCCGCGAGATTCGTGGTGCTGTTGTCGCATCCTACCAGCTTCTCATCACCTTCGGCATCCTCATTTCCAACTTGATCAACTTCGGCGTTCGCAACATCCAGGAGTCCGATGCTTCATGGCGCATCGTTATCGGCCTTGGTATTGGCTTCTCCCTGCCATTGGGCTTGGGAATCCTTGCCGTTCCCGAATCTCCTCGATGGCTCGCAGGTCGTCAGGATTGGGAAGGCGCTCGTATGTCCATGGCGCGCCTACGTGGTCTTAAGGACGATCCGCACAACGAGACCGTCGAAAAGGATCTCCAGGAAATGTTCAAGGTCATTGAGGAGGAGTCCAAAACGGGCTACGGTACTTGGCTTGAGTGCTTCACTGGATCCTCTGGAATCCCGAAGACCGTCTACAGAACGATCCTGGGTATCTGCATTCATTTCCTGCAGCAGTGGTATGTTGCGGCCCATGGAGTTTCAAAGTCTAAGAACAGTGTCTAACATTCACCATAGGACCGGTATCAACTACTTCTTCTACTACGGAGCACAAATCTTCGAGTCGGCTGGTATTGATGATCCGATCATGGTCCAGCTCATTCTCGGTGCCGTCAACGTTGTGTGCACTTTCTATGGTCTCTATGCTGTTGAGAGATACGGTAGACGCTGGCCCATGTTCATTGGTGCTCTGTGGCAATTTGCTTGGCTCACAATCTTCGCCTCTGTCGGCACTGCCCTTCCTCCCGAAACCAGCGCAACCAGCGGCATCGTCATGATCGTCTCGGCCTGCATGTTCATTGCTTCCTTCGCTAGCGTAAGCCTCCCCCTGCCGACTTCAACGATTCCTCTTACTGACTACGTATCTTTATAGACCTGGGGACCTATGGCGTGGTGCGTCATTGGAGAGACATTCCCTCTCCGAACTAGAGCCAAGCAGGCATCTCTCGCTACCGCCGGTAACTGGTTGGGCAACTTCCTCATCTCGTTCCTGACACCGTTCGCGACCAACGGTATCTCTTTCGCATACGGTTTCGTTTTCGCCGGTTGCAACTTGGCCGCCGCTTTCCTCGTATGGTTCTTCCTCTACGAGACGAAAATGCTGTCCCTCGAGAACGTCGACAGAATGTATAGCGACCCAAGCGTCAAGCCCTACTCTTCCACCAAGTGGGTGCCTCCAGGCTACATCACTCGCAAGGATAAAGACGAGTCCGAGTTCCAACGAGCATCGGTTCACACCGACAACAGCAACCCGACTGAGAAGGCAAGCGATGAGAGACCTTTTTCCGAACATCACACCAAGCAGGAAACTACATCCAACGCCGTTTAGGCCATTGTAGTTTCATAGTTGCTTGCGTATATAGTTTTAATAATAATACCGTTGAACATAATCTATGTGTAAGGTCATAGAATCGGCTGCAACTTCGCCGGGTGACACATGGGGGTATGCTTTCCCCTTCTGAAAGACCTCTATTTCAAAGCTTGAGAGATATTACAAGGATGAACAGATCTTTTGTTCGAGCTATTGTCTAGAATACCAAGCTGTGTCCCTTTTCCCCTTCAGAACGTCACTGGCCGTCTCCAGTCCTCATGAAAATATTCGAAGGTCTGTCTCGGTACGCGAATTGCTCTTCAACGTCATATTCGATCTCTGGACCTTCTTGCTTGAAACCCAGCTTGGAATACACGTGTCTACCCATACTTGACGCCTCCAAGAGTAGCTCAAGCCCGCCACGTCGCTTCGCCTCATCGAGACCCCACTGAACCAGCTTCTTGGCGATGCCCTTACCCTGGAACTTGGGATCCACGGCGCACATGTCCAGCACCAAAACTGCCGGCTCAGCCGCCGTCGCCTTCTCTGCGATGACCTCCTCACGTCGCTTGTGCAGCGATCCCATACAGGCTGCGGCGTATCGCTGCTCGGCTTCGTTGCCGGGGAAGATGGACTCCAGCCCGAGCTCCTTGATCAAGTCTTTCGGTGGCTGATCGCCGTGACCTTCAATGGCGGACTGCTGTGCCCAGATTGCCATGCCTACGATTCTGCGCTGTCCGGCATTTTCGGGATCCGGAAGGGTGGCCTTGAGGAAGACGACATTGGGGTCGCCCTTGTTGTTCTGGTTGACGGTTTTGAAGCGGTTAGCCATGCGACCGGCGCCGCGAACCACGCCTTCCGGCGTATCCCAGCCGGGGTTCATGGACAGGTAGACACCATCACGAGCTTGGTGACCGAATGCGTCTCGGACGACCTCGGTGACTTGAGTAAAGTCCTCGGGCTGGGAGATGACTTCGATGCGGACATCATAGTTCTGCCCCGCGACGGTGGTGCTTGCCATGGTTTCTGCGGGGTAATCGCGGTTGAAGACTTCAAATGGCGGGGTCAAAATGCTAAAGTCTGGGTCGCAGGGGCTTCGAGGCGGTGTTACTGCGCAAGATTCCAATGAGTCTCGAGTTTGGTTGTTGAGTCTACAATTTCTGCATGGAACGAAGTTAAGTGGACAAAGTGTCTTTACTGAAAACTGAAAAAGTCAGCACCTTTGCCAAGCTCTTCTCTTGAGCACGACAAACGGACAACCCGAGTTGAACCTGGACGCATGAATCATCCAATGCCCCCGAGTTGGTATGGCCCACTAGACTCCGCATCTCGGAGACGAAACCCCCGATTTAGTCGTCAACTCCATGTTTCTTGCTAGTGCCCGAGCTGACTTAACTCTTATTAACAGACACGATTGATCCAATTCATGAGAATGTAACGTTGAATGACAACATAGGCTCTTATGGATTCAAATGTCAGAGCCCAAGAGCTAAGTGAGAATGGAGAAAGTTGTAAAATTTCAGACGGCTGACTCTGGTCGAGAAGAGACTGACCATGTCCCAGAGGCCGAATGCCGCTAGAGGTAAGAATTGAGACCCACGCTAGGCAGCTAGCACTTTTTGATTCACAGCGTCCTACGGAACAGTAGAAAGTCAATGGTGTTTAATAACAAGAAAGAGTTCAAGATGCTTGGCATCAACTAATTATCCTACTGGTTTCGTCATAAACACTTAGCGCATTCATGGTAGCTTCAGGCTTTTCCATCCAATTGATCTAATTCTTTTTGGCGCTCCCAAATGTTTTCTGACAAATTAACAGCCAAATACTCTAGCAGTGCAAACATTGATACCAGCAGCTCCAGCGCCAGGTGCAGCCATGTACTCGCACTTTGTCGCAAATGTCCACGAGCCATGCGGCGCAGAGTACTCCACAACATCATCACGGAAGCGCATGTATGCTGAGTATCCAGAGCGGCAGTTCAGACCTAAGTTTGAGATTACAATTAGCTATTGGTGCATAGTTGCCATGTCAGAGTGCGGTGAAAATAACTCACGCCAGCCATTAACGTCGCCGTATCCGTTCACGCTGCAAACCTTTTGACCATTGTCTGTGAGCGTGATAGTGGCATATTGGAAGTTGTTGATGCTTGCGACGAAATCGACGCAAGCTAGTGCAGAGCCGGCGAAAGTTGCGAGGACGACGTTCTTGAGGGAGACCATGTTGACTGGATGGATGATTTTCGTTTAAAACTTGGGATTGGCGAGTTAACTAATGAGGAGATGCAAGCTGATTGAGGTGATTCTTCTGATCGTGAGGATTGCATGCAAGCACAGAACAATCATACTTATACTTGGCCGTTCTGAACATGATCGAGCTCAGACTATTAGCAAACTTCTGCAATGAGAAAAATAATGGCTGCCTGATCGGAAATGCCCCGTAGTAATTTCTTTCTCAATCAGCCTCCTAACGTTGGCAAATTTTGAGGTCTTGACCGCTGCGATGTGAAGTATTGGCGGCTTACGTGCCAAGACAAATGTCTAGCTGCCTGCCTCGCCAAGTTAAACAACCCCCAAGCTCTAAGCCCCATGGGGTCTGATGTCGCAGGGGGGCCGTTTCCCCTTTCAGGATTCGAGGTCACCTTTCAAGAGGAAGTCTACCCCGATTGGTTGTCTTGCTAGTTGAACTAGGAGTATAACATTACCTCGTGAAGCCAACAGTGAGTCTGTCAGGTAGCTGCTGACTCGCCCCCCAGCAGCGGCAAGCGACGATGAACATTGATCCTTTCGCTGAAACCCTCGCAATCGGCAGTCTTATCAGCTGGGAATGGAGGAAATACACGTTTTCGGCTATTTGATTTCAGCTGACGTGAGATTCTCTGGTCTGTTTAATGAATGGGTTTGAGTTCTGTTCGAACAATATGACAACGCAGAAGTCGGGTCCATACGCGACTTGCCTGATGCTTATGCAGGCAAGTTGTTCAACTGCAGCGAAGAATGACTCTAGGACACCAAGGTAATTGAAACGTTCTATGGCTCGTTCTGGAAATCGTTATCAAGCGCCAGATCTATAGTGTTTTCGGTAGAATAATTCTGCCCAAGCAAATGATCGACTAATACCATGTTGTGTACTCCGTAGGTCCTTGATGGCGTAGGCACCCCACAACCCGAACTGAAAGTTCTTCTGGACCATCCCTGCTGCCTTCCCTGCCACCTTAAAGTTAAGTGCCCTTTCGATCCGAGAGAAGTATCACCTTAATCTCACCTCACTTGCAAAGTCCCGTAGCTTCAATAGATGATTGGTCTGCTTGTACTTCACTTTCTACTCGTCATAAGCTAGAGGAGTTGACCCATGATAGAGTGTGAATTGACAAATGATTAGCAAACACACGTTAAATGGTTCAGCAGACGTTTCTAAAAAGCGAAGTGCGATTCAAGAAATCTAAACAAACAATCTACAAGGCTGAACAAAAAAACAAAGAAATGATCCAATCAATCAAGGAACCGAACGTTTGAAATCAGGCAGAGCCAACGGCGAATTCCTTGACAACCTTACACACTGGAGCTGCCCCATTAGCAGCATACTCGCAGCGCTCGCCCTTCAAGGTAGAAGCCAGACCCCTCTTCTCCTCCATGCGGGCAAAGTGACGGGAGCGCTTGGTGGGAACGCTCTTGGGAGAAACGTCAGTGAAGGCCTTCTTGGTGGAGTCCCAGATCTTGTTGTCGGAGGTGATGAAAGGAGCACCGGCAAACTTGGTCAGCAACTCGTCCTTGCCATTGAAGAATCCAGAAATCTCCTCAAGGAAGGGAACAGTATCAATGGTCTGGTTCTTGCCGGAAAGAGAGCGCTTGCTGAAGGACTCCTTGCAGCTGTTGCGGTTTGCGACCTGTCCCACGTTGTCGGTAACGTACTTGCAAGCCTGCTCAAAGGTGGTCTTGGCTAGTGTGTCGTTCTTGCCCTTATTGAAGATACCGGCAAGGTTCTCCATGTCGAGGTGAAGGGACTGGATGGGCTTGTTGGTGCCGTCGGGTTGACCGTCAAGCCAGATGCAGCGCTGGCGAACACCATTGAGGACGGCGCCCCAGTTCCACTCGCGGCCGCACTGGAAGCCCAAGTCACCAACAGGGATGAAGACCTCGTCGCGTCTTGCCTGGGTGTCACTTCCCTTGAGAATGATGTTGGAGACGCAGATGGCATTGCCACCAGGCTGGATATCGAGAGACTTGAGGTTGAAACCATTGTTGGTCTTGAAGCTCTGAATAGGCGCCTCAGCGTTCTTCAGGCCCTTGAATAGTTCCAAGTCACCATTATTGCGGCATTGGTCCTCGGGCTTGTCACTATTTCCTTCGAAAACACCAAAGATCTGGGTGTTGGAGAAGTCGGACAGGATGATGGAAGGAGGGTTGCCCGCGGCATCTTGGTTGTCTCCGATTTCCATGCGGATGGTGTAGAAGTCAACCTCCTTGGGCTTCGTGTTGATGGCCGACATGATGCCAATGCCCGATGAGACGAGCCCCAAAAAGGTAGCGACATTGCCAATGGCGGTGCCGAGGGTTGCAACTGCTCCGATAGCGGCCATTTTGAATCGAAAAATTGGGTGTAAGTGAAAGTGGTAGGAAAATTCCTAAGTGAGTGAATAAAAAGCACCAAAAAATGAAGGAAGTACAACTCGTTGTTGCGATGGAAGACTGATCTGATTGAGGTGATGATGAGAAGAACAACATATTTTCGAGGACAAGCAAAGACTTTTATAACATCATGACACTAACGGAACTGTTCCTATTCCATGTACGGTCATCATGGTCACTCCTCAATATCAATCTTGATGATGCCAATCCATCACCTCGCTTAGCCTCTTGATTGAATCCATATTGCGCCTGGCCAAGTAAGGCCAGCCTTTTCCATGGTAGTCGGCGCCGAGCGGACACTTTGGCAGTACAAAGGCCGAATGCCCGATGCTATTCTCAGCTGCCAAGTCCGTATTCGATGCTTCGTGAAGTGAATTAACAAGGTTATTGTGGACTTCTTAGCATGCATGTTAAGAAGACTGTAGAATCCAATTCTTTACTTCTGAAACCGGCCAGGCGGGACGAGGGATCGACACTGGCAATGCTTGACAACTAGGATCCATGCACATGCGGAAAAGCCCTCCGATACAACTCTGAAGGCATTCTGGTTGATGATGACACTGGCGAGTTGAATCGACCAATTTCCGACTACCACGAGGATTTCTTTTCGAAATGTGCACTGGGCTCGAAACTTTGCCTTTTACGAATTGAAGCTCTTCAAGTCGGACTGAGGGGACGTACGTGCTCTCAGCTGCCATGGAATCAAGCGGAGATGCGGAGTAGCGTCAGTGCAAAAATAGAGTTCCTCTAGCCCACGCAGTGTATGCCCCCTATTGTGACCAGGAAGGCCTCGAAGCGGTCTTGTAACCGGTTCCCTGCTTGCCATGGAATAGAAGCTCTAGACTCCATTTCTCCATGATAACTGGGCTGATGCTAAGCCCTATCACAAATTTTCAAATTCGGTGGTGCATCCATGAACAGCCCGCACTATGCGGACTGTTTTTCACCGCCGGCGGCGGGCTTTCAACTTAGTGAACATCGTTAAGCGACTTGTCAAACCTGTGTGTCGTGTTCAAGGCGTTTCTCAACGCATAAAGGAGCTCGGCGTCCTTGGAACCCCCTGAACATGTCGCCTTGGCAAGCAGCGATCCGGATGAACTCAACGACTCGACTCGTTTGGAGGCCGAAGACTTGGCTATTTTGACAGGACAAACACCTTTCGGTAGTCCCGTGATAAGTTATAGCATAGCGTCTTGAAAAATTCAGACATTGATTGGAACAATGGGACTGGATGCAACTCTTTTGACGCATTTGCCTGTCTATCGGCACCACATTTAGAGCGTATTTTTGGTCTCATACTCGCGGAGCCGGTCTGGGGGGAAAGCATGTACAGAAATGCTGCCCAGAGCAATGAGCGTTAACGCTGATCTGTAAACATCCAAATAGCGTGTGCTTT